TTTCACACTTGAATATAGGATGCCATACTCAAGTGTGCCTGGCCTCAAATATATTTTAGAATCCTCTTGGCTGCTCCAAGATGTTGTTTGGTAGGACTGTGAATGTACCTAGATACAATGCTGACACTAAGAGCAATGTTAGGACAATAATAAGTAAGATAGTTTAACCCCCTCCCCACCATGTTTCTGTAAAGCTTCTCATTAGCCATCTCAGTTCCATCATACTTATGCAATTTCTCATTTGTGTTCATTGGTGTTTTGGCAACCTCACATTTCTCCATATGGAATCTTTTGAGTAAATAAACAGCATACTTTCTTTGGTTTAGAAAAATACCTTTTATGCTTTGTCTCACCTCAAGCCCAAGAAAGTATTGGAGCATACCCAAATCAGTCATTTCAAACTCTTGTGTCATTACATTCTTAAAACCATCTAGCATGTTATGTGAAGAACTAAATTATATGATATCATCAGCATATAGACATATTGTAATAAACTCATTCAGAACTTGTTTCTTCACATAAAGCGTGGGCTCATTTTCACTTCTCTGAAACCCGTTTTGAATAAAAAAAGGAGTCTATCTTGATGTACCAAGCCCTGGAGGCTTGCTTGAGCCCATATTATGCCTTCTTCAGCCTATGGACCTTTTCTTATTCATCTTTCTGTATAAATTAAACCCCTGAGGCTGTTCTACAAACACTTCCTCAGTCAGTTCCCCATTAAGAAAAGTTGACTTCACATCTAGTTGAAACACTGGTAGATTCCACTGAACTGCCAATGCTAGAACCACTATAACCGTTTCAAATATGGCCATAGGTGAGAAGGTTTCTTCATAATCAATCCCCTCTTGATGTGCATAGCCTTTTGCTACTAATATGGCCTTATGCTTGAAGATGCTCCCATCTGAATTGTACTTGATTTTGTACACCCATTTCAGACCTATTACACTCCTTTCCTTAGGCAGTGTAACAAGTTATCATGTATCATTCTTTTCTATTTCTTTAATCTCTTCTTGCATGGCATATTTCCACTCATTTTATGTGATAGCCTCTTCAAAGGCTGCAGGTTCAGTGGCTACTAGAGCAAAGTCACATGTTTCATATATATCAATTATGGATTTTACCTTGTGTGGGGGAGACTCACTTTCTGAATCTAATCCGGTTGAACTCTGGCTACTGGAAGAACCTGATGGAGTTGAAGGTGGTGATGGAGGCCGATGATTTTGCTTCTCTAACTTTTGCAGAATCATAAAAGGAAACTGTAGGTTGCATGTTTTCACTTTCCTTGGTCTGACTATGCAGTTGCATCCTCATCAAAAACAACATTTTTATTGATGATTATTTTATTAGTGATGGGTTTAAATAATATGTAGGCCTTGGATTGGACTGAATAGCCAACAAAAATACATTTTCAGCTTTATCATCTAGTTTGGTCCTTCGATTCACCAGGGTATAAGCAATACACTCAAAGATTCTCAAATGTCCAACAGATGGCTTCGTCATCCTTCATACTTCAAAAGGTGTGGCATTCAATACAGCTTTGTTTGGTGAAATGTTGAGTAGATACACTGCAGTAGCTACAACTTCTCCCCAGAACTCATTTGGCAATCCTTTAGCCTTCATCATGCTTCTAGCCATCTCTACTACTGTCATGTTCTTCCTCTCTGCCACTCCATTCTTCTTAGGTGTGTAAGGGGTAATCAATTCTCTCCTTATGCCTCAATCATCACAGAATTTGATAAACTCTTTGCAAACACATTCTCATGTGTGTCTGCTCTTAAGGCTTTCACAACCTTGCCACTTTGTGTCTCCACAAATGCCTTGAATTTCTTGAAATTCTCAAAGGATTTTTCCTTACTCTTTAGAAAGTAAACTCATGACAATCTACTAAGATCACCTGTTATCAAGAGGAAATACATGCATCCTCCTAAGGATACAATCTGCATGGGGCCACACAGATCTGCATGCACCAATTATAAGACTTCATTTGCTCTCCAAGATTGTCCAGCATGGAAGGACCCACGAGCCTTCTTACCATATACGCATCCTCCACAGAACTCTAAGTCACCAATAGTAGGCAATCCCAGCATAAATTCCTTGGTACATATTAATTTAAGGTTGTGAATATTTAGATGGCCATACCTGAGATGCCGGACCTTGGCACTCTCATCTCCTCTCACCACTAGTGCATGATCTACTCTCTTGATCAAGTCTAGTGGAAACACCTTGTTTTTACCCATAGGTATTTTCATCTAGCCTCATTACTCAGCTTGTATTTGACAGTGAACCCTCCATTTTCAAACAGCACTAAGTAGCCTCCACACAGAAGTTGCCCAACACTCAGTAAGTTGTGGGAAAACTGAGGAACATACCTGAACATTCTGCAAGAGCTTTGTTCCTCCTTGTTCTGTGGGCATTAAGATGATACCAAGACCTTCCACTGTGAGTTGATTTCCATCCCCAAGTCTTACAACTCCTTTCTTGGTATCATCTAGGTCATTGAACATGCATTTTGAACTTGTCATGTGGTTTGAACATCCACTATCTACATACCAAACTGAACAACCACCTTGATCAGAGTTATGCTGGGCAAGAAAGAGATGTTCATGCTCAGCATAGTTTGATTTTTGTTCAGTCCTTCCTTGATCCTTATCCTCATATTTCTTCCAACATGATGCCTCTTTGTGACCTTGGTAACACTTGTTTGAAGCTTTATGAGTGCTATTTGAGTAGTCTTGCCTCTCTTCATTGCTTGGGTGACCTCTCCATCTGCCTATTCCTCCATGAGCACCTCTATAACCTCCTCTACCTCTCCCTTGTTCCCTGAATAGAGATTGAAAGGGATGGTCTTTGGAATCCTCTCCTTTAGCTTGAAAGACATGTTCTTCATTTTTTTACATTCACGGTCGCCCCTTTCTTCATAGGCTTGAAGAGATCCTTTTTTTTACCCCCAATGTTCGACCAAGAAACTATTTGGTTTCTCAGGGTAGGGGCCAGGAAACACCCTACTTATTTATTAAAAAGATGGAAAACATACAATGAGTAGGAGGACTAGACCAATGCCTACTCAGGAACAAACACATAGGATAACTAACAGCATCAAACTTTAAGATACCAACAAAATGATTGAAATGATGAGTCGTGGTATGAATAGAAACACTCCTATGAGCTATATATTCTGCTGCTTGATTGACCCTCGGGTGGATGAAAGTGATCACACAATTATGATTCTTGAGTCTTTGCTTGATATCGTGGAGTCTCTGTAACACCCCGGCCCCACAGGACCCGAGGTAGTTACTCCAGACCTCTAGTACTGTCCTCACAAACCGCCACTAGTCTTTTCCGCGCACTTTGTCCTCACTCGTGCGCGCCCTCAGAAACTTCCCGGGGGGTCACTCATCCCAAGACTACTCCCGTGCAAGCACGCTTAACTTTGGAGTTCTTAGCGGATAAGCTCCCTTAAAAGGAGATGCATCTTGTTGGTATGAGTAGTACTATTAATCCGTTTATATTAAATCTCAAGTGTTACAATCACCCACACTTAGGAACGCAACGTCCTCGTTGCGCCCATAAACCAATCTCAAATCTCAATCAAATCCCAGAATCTTCCCCCGCTAAGTGCCCGCCCGATATCCAACGGGTCAGCACACTGTCGCAGGGTTGCTCTGATACCACCTGTAACACCCTGGCCCCTGTACTATTGTAACACTTGAGATTTAATATAAACGAATTAATAGTACTACTCATACCAACAAGATGCATCTCCTTTTAAGGGAGCTCATCCGCTAAGAACTCCAAAGTTAAGCGTGCTTGCACGGGAGTAGTCTTGAGATGGGTGACCCCCTGGGAAGTTTCTCAGGACTCGCACGAGTGAGGACAAAGTGCGCGGAAAAGGCTAGTGGCGGTTTGTGAGGACAATACTAGAGGTCGGAGTAACTCCCCTGGGTCCTACGGGGCCGGGGTGTTACAGTCTCGGCCAGTACCTACAATGTTGAGCAGATATCCCAGTGAGACCCTCATAAATGTTTCTATTATCAACTTCAAGAATGAAATTAGTCACATTAGTATTCTTGATGTTGATAATAATATCAATAATGGCGTCATAGGAAGAGATCCTTTTAACTCTTCAAACGTATAGGTTTTTAATTCCTTAGACTCTTCAATAGCACACATAAGTTTCCCAAATCTAGGTGTCAGACTCCTCATTACTTTCCTCACAACCTGTTGAGGTTTAATATCTTCTCCATAGCACTTCATCTGCTGACCAATGGTTGTGATCCTAGAGAGATAGATCTGCACAAACTCCTTGTCTTTGATGGTGCATCTTCCACCTCTCTCCTGAGAGACTGCAATCTGACCATGACCACTTTCTTGTGCCCTAAGTATTCTTTCTTAAGAATACTCCAAGCCTCCTTGGAAGTAGATGTAACAGCAATGCAAGGGAACACATCATCGTCTAGGGCTTGCTGAATGAGAAAAAGGGCTTTGACATCCTTCTTTCGTTTTTCTCTAAGGGCTTGATCAGGCTCCTCTGGCTGATCATCCACAAACCCATCCTCAACCATGCTCCACAGCTCTTGAGACTTGAAAAGGGTTTTCATTTTCAAGCTCCAAAAATGATAGTCTATCCCCTTGAACAATGGCAGTTGTTTCACAGAATTGTCATTTCCTATAATTTGCATTTTGGTGTTGTTTTTTGTTTCTCAATCGTGTAATTCCCTCAAACAAATGGATGGATCTCTCACTGTCTCTGATACCAAATATTACCTCTCAATGTGTATAACAACACAATTACTATAGGTATCGTTCAAGCCATGTTGCACGTTAGCCCACAACCTAATTACTTGACTCAAACAACTCCTATTAATAAGCTAACAACCTTGACTTATTCAATATTAAACCAATGAAATAATTAAGAATAATAATAACTAGACTCCTATGTATGCATGATCACATAATCTCCATGCACACGTCAAACTTAGTCAATCTCAACAGGTTGGTACCTGAATATAGAAGGGCGAAGAAAAATATGGGTCGAGTAAGATGGGTTCCCAATGGGCGAGTTGAAGCTCCTTCTCCCTATCCACATTTTGTAACCACTGAGCCACAGTGATCCCTTTGACTTTGGCCTCTACGAGTCGCAGCCCAGCATCGTTGCATTTCATCAACCATTTCTCATCTTCCGCCGATCTCATCAGTCTCCCCGTCATTCTTTCATAAGCATTCAACGTCTCAGAAATTGACTCACCCAACTTCACATTTTTATCAATTTTTCTGATCCATAATGAACATACACATCAGACTGAATGCAACATGCAAATATGTTTAGATCAGTTGATATTCATGCATGCATGCACAGAAATTCAGAGTCTAATTTATGCACGTACATATGGCTGGTCGCTGATGAACCCTAGCTAGCTAAGTTTAACATGGAAAAATACAAAAAAAAATCCACATGACATAGGAAAGGTTAATTCAAATGAGCTCTGGTACAACCCTAATTTCGCACAATTATTCCAAAAAAAACATATGAGTCATATTATGTAGCGTGGATACGTCACTAGGGTATAGTATCAACGTATAAAAAACATTCTCGTATCAGATACTCTAGGATACCCGTACCATACGTTCTCGAGCCGTATCTGTAATTTATTAAAAGTTTCCAAATTTTTTTGGTAATTATTTTAAAATTTTGGATATCCGTATCCTGATAGATACATGTATCAACTTTTTTATATATAAAAAACAACCAAAATTTATGTAATAAAATTCTTAAAAAAAGAAACAAAAATAACTTGCTTTAATCTTGCACACAACTAATGTTATGGACGAAAAGTAAAATGTGGGATGTTGATGGAGATGACTTTGGAGCATGAGGATAGATGAGTGCTTGAGTTCGCAAACTTTTCCATAGATCAACCAAAAATGGAGTTTTTTTGGAAGACGATGTTATCCTTGGAAATTAGTAGCTCCAGAGGAAATATGTATTAGAACTTTTAGTTTTTTATTACAATATGTTTTCTATCTCCACTATCCAAGAACTTTGAGTACTTGCAATTTTAATTTCAAAATATTGATTGTTTAACTCATTTCTCATTTTAAATTAATGACTTATTAACTATATATATTTATATTTGGGAAAATAGAAACTAATAATCCAACCTTTTAGCAGTCTTCTAACAATAGTCCCACCTTTTCGTTATTCAAGAATAATCCAACTTTTGCACCCCATCTTCATTCGTTGGTCCCTGACCGGTTAATGACATGCTATTCCAAGTTATTTTCTTATCTTTGCAAAATATTATCTTTGTGAAATGTGAGATTTATGGTATAATGGTTTGCAAAGATAAGAAAATAACTTGGAATAACAGATCATCAACCGGTCAGGAACCAGTGAATGAAGATGAGGTGCAAAGGTTGGATTATTCATGAATAACGAAAAGGTGAGACTATTGTAAGGAGACCGCTAAAAAGTTGGATTATTAATTTCTATTTTACTTTTATATTTCGAGATGCATTAGTGTATATGAGATAAACTATGTATTTATTTTTTACTGTCTTGATAATGTGAAATGTTTTAATGTCATGAATGGACAGAGGTCAAAAGATAATATATGTATATATTTTCAAAAAAAACTTGTAATTTTAATATTTATAAATACACTCCCATAAGTTTTGATATTTATAAATACACCCATAATTTTTAATACTTATAATAGCCTCATAACTTTTAATATTTATAAATATACCCTTGTACCTGTATCCTACCTTTTTTAATTAGTTTTGTCCATTTCCGCATACATGTATGGGTGTTACAAAGGCAGGGAATAATTTTATCTTATTCAATATTATGTAAAGTTTAGGTGCCTAGCTAGCTATCATATAAAACGAGGACGTTGCTAGGGGCATCTCCAACCCGGACCACCAAATGAAATCTATACTTAGGGTAGGCAAACATGTACAGGAACCACAAGTTAGGCTATGTAATACAAGTTCGAGGCAGGTTAGGGTCGGGTAAAAATTCTAGAAAACTCAAACGGGGCGGGGTCTTAGAAATTTTAGGAACCTAACGGGTCTTAAAATTCGAAATAATAGATACCTGGACGAACCCGTTTTAAAATATTATTTCAATAAACGCTATTATATTTAATATACTAACAAAACATGAAAGCTCTTCAGGTTCGTGTGACTTACATAGAGACTATCAATTGAAGAAACTCGTGAGTCCATTAAAAAGAATTTCAAAGTCCATAAATAAACTCCTAAATTGTTATACTCAAGTCTCTATATATTCAAAATGCATCAAATTCCCTTTATCCAATCTTATTTGTTAACAAAGCCTCGTACGCAATGAAGAGTCACATATTCATTTAATTGTCTTAATTTATGGTTAGACATTTTGTTAACTAATTCAATGATTTTTTTAGATTTCTATTTGAATTTTTACAATATTATGGATTGACATTTATTAATTAGGTTGAGGTTGTTACTACGCATTACTTACTAGTTATTTTGCTCGCGTATCGGTATTTTTTACATAAATATACATATAAAACGAAGTTATTTTCAAAAATTTATTTGACTACCTTACAATTGAGTTTTTAGCTGAAAGTTTTTGTAGATAAACTACACTTGATGAGGAACATGCTCAAAAATTTCATCAAAAAATTCCACCGGGAACCGCCCTACCGACGGCTGGACGGTGGATCCTGCCTCTCCGTCTGGGGGGGATCTTTTCCGTACATATATAATTCCCATGAAAAATAGGAATAAAATCTGTAGCATCAGATTTAGGATCTAATGGTTCTAAATATGTCAAAAATGCATCAAAGTGGATGAAAAATGCGGTGACATTTTCCTAAATAAATCAAAGTTTGTATTCTTTGCAAAAAGTGGATATCCAGAGTGTAATAGTGTACCGTAAATGATCAAAAGTGGATGATGGAATTTTTCTCAATGTAATGGTGCAACTCAGACGGTCAAAAGTGGAGACATTCACATTTTGTATTCAAAATTTTAAAATTTTAATTTTTTTTAAACTCTTTTTTTTTATGAATATTTATTAATTTTTAATTATTTCTTTACGATTTTATTATGAATTAACACATTTTATTATGAACTAATACTCTTGGGGGTATTTAGGGCAAAAAATTGATGTTTAGTCCTATTTGTGAATGATTTAGGCTTTAGTCCTAATTGAATTGTGAAATTAAGTTTCCCTTTAGTCATCAATTTTTATTGGTCTCTCTATACATATATATGTGTATACATACATGCATACCTGTAATAGAAAACAAGACGTATGAGGTAGTGTTGCATAGCGCGGTCGAGAAGGGATAAAGGGGAGAATTTGCCTGCAGGTTGTACAGGTTTGGTGCTAACTACGGTTCTTTTGGAGATGGATGAAACTTCACACCCCCTCATACTTCACTTCACTTCTTGCTTGATAGATAAATTAATGAAGGACCCGCCGAATTGAAGCCAAGCTCGCTCAACAACCTGGCTAGCTAATATGTAAAATACATACTAATTAAGCTAGTAGTATATATAAATGTGTGTGTTTGAGAGAGAGTCACACACGCGTCCGTACATTCTATTAGGCATAATAAGGATGGTAGCCGAAAAAGTGTAGCATGCATGCATGGCATGCACGCTGCCAGTTGTTTACTTTTGGGGAAATGCATGCATGCTTTTGGTGTGTGAAAAGCTTAAGCTACTCAACGAACCCCAAAACTTTCAAGAATACCAACTGAACATGCAATCATGCATGCTTCTCAACTGGTAAATTGTATGGTATATATAGCCCACATTTTTGTAATTAGATCCAACTTTAATTATTAATTAAGTTGCTCCTTGCCCTTCTCTTGCGTTCCGCTGCTCCGTCTCTTTGTCATTTTTTTTTCTTTTTCGTGTTGTTTTGTTCGTAAGTTACTTTTGCTTGTTACTTGTTGTTCATAGGGGTGGGCAAAAGACCCGGTCCCGTTGGTCCGTTCCGGAATGTTCTGGTTCCGTTCCGAAATTGTCCCGTTATATTTGGGACGACACATCATTTTTGTCCTGTACCGGTCCTGAACCGTTTCAAAACAAAACGGGATAGGGACAAGTAAAATATATCTCGTTCCGTCCCGTTGTCCCGAATCCAAAATTGTACTTTGTAGTAGAGCAATTATTTTATAACTCTGAGTTGTATCCAAATGAAATTAATATTTTCAACTATCTTTACCCTAACAAAAAAAGAATATTCAATGCCTATTTTTATCCATTAATTACATCTGTGGCTAATCTTTTTTTTTCAAAACCAACTACACATTTTTGTAATTTATTTATCTAAAAATAGGTGTGCTTAATTTTTTTGAAGATATTGATCCTTCTAGGTTTTAGAATTTTGCAAATTAGTCCTCCAATCTCTTTCTTTAAGAAAAGTGTTCAAGATATATAGTTTTGTGGCAGTCTCATTTTTAATGAAGGCGATGACGGCGACAATAGTCTGCCTATCGCAATTGGTAGCAATCGATTTATGATCTTATTAGGTAAAAAAGTGTTATTGAATGAAGAACGGTTACATTCTTTAGACTTCTAGCAGACAATTTTTATATAGAAGGTCAGATGAATAAAATATAAAAAAAAAACTTCATCACGTCAAGAGGTAGCTATAATCGAAACATAAATATGTCAAACTATGCAATGAAAAATATAAAAAAACCTAAATACTAGGGAAAATGGAAACTAATAATTCAACCTTTTAGCAGTTTTCTTACAATAGTCTCACCTTTTCGTTATTCAAGAATAATTCAACCTTTGCACCACATCTTCATTCGCTGGTCCCTGACCGGTTAATGACATGCTATTCCAAGTTATTTTCTTATCTTTGCAAAATATTATCTTTGTGAAAGGTGAGATTTATGGTATAATGGTTTACAAAGATAAGAAAATAACTTGTAATAGCAGGTCATCAACCGGTCAGGGACCAGTTAATGAAGATGAGGTGCAAAGGTTGGATTATTCATGAATAACGAAAATGTGGGACTATTGTAAGAAAACCGCTACAAGGTTGGATTATTAGCTTCCATTTTCCCTAAATGCTAAGCTACTTAGTAGCTTAGTACCGAATAAATTTAACATTTAGAAGAATTCCAACATAGTACAGAGTATTTCCTTATAATTTAACTAAATTCTAATCGAACTTAAATTCGAGTGCAATCCAACGTATAAGAATTAGTACATACGGAGTCTGATACTAATTAAATTGGAAAGAGAATCTATAATATTAAAAAGAAGATTAGCTTAGAGAATGACACATGACAAAACTGTCTATAATTGTATCTTTGAAATGTATTATTTATAGATAGATATTATTTATAGAAGAAGAAGATGAGGAAGAGAAGGAGGGAGTGGGGGAGGGGGGAGTGGGGGAGGGGGGAGGGGGAGGAGGAGGAGTAGAAGCAGAAGCAGAAGCAGTAGAAGCAGAAGTAGAAGAAGCAGAAGCAGAAGAAGCAGAAGCAGAAGCAGCAGGAGAAGGAGAAGAAGGAGGAGGAGGAGGAGGAGGAGGAGGGGGAGGAGGAGGAGGAGGAGGAGGGGGAGGAGGAGGAGGAGGAGGAGGAGAAGCCCCCTCCCCGTTTTCTAGAGTTTGTAGCAATAAGTTTCTGTTCCTTGTGTTGCGCTTCTGTTTTGTTTTGGTGCTTATTGGCTTTCTGTGATGTCTATTGATTCCACATGATTTCTTGTGTTTTGAGGATGGGCCAAAATGGACTGTCCCCTACAAACTCAAAAGGAGAGTTGTATTGGGATTATTATATTTGATAGAATTAATTAAGTGTGATAAATTAGATTTATTATACTTAATTAAGATGTATTTATAATTAATTAAAGCTGATATATTTTGGTACACTTTCAATTCAAAGTTGATCGGTGTATTTTTTTAGTGAGTAAAACGTAGTTGGCTAATCCGAAGAATAACCAGACCACGAGTATCGTCTCTCAAGGAGTGGCAAAAAGGAAGTTTTAAATACAGTCCGTGATCAAAGGCTAGCACAAGTCATGGTAATCTTTCCAAATAATTTTTGTTTGAGTGGTTTGAAAATAAAACTGACTAATAAACTGACTAATAGCGAGTGAAAAAATAAATAGAAAAAAATAAATTAAATTGATTCAGGATATTAAAAACAGGGTTCAAATTGGATGGTTCGGGTTCTGGGTGTTCTTTCGGGATTAGAATTAAGTAAATTAATATTCAATTATTCCTGGACAGAAAATGAAATCACTTCTCATAGACAAGAGCAAAATCATATTATCACAATCCTAACTTATTTCTAAGATCAAATTGCTTGTATAAAACCTGAGCTAATTTAACTCAATTTCTCATAGACAAGAATTGAATTAAATCCAGAAATTCATATATGAGGTGATCAAATTCATATAGACAATTATGATTAATCTTATACAATTATCCAGAAAATTAATTGATTTAAAAAAAAAAAACTAAATTCACACCCTCATGAACCCATAAACCCTAGCCACAATTCAAACCCTATATGGAATTAGCTACTCATAATTAAAATCAACATGACAGTATTATGATTAAGCATGATAAGAGCTAGAGAAATAATTGAATTATAAGTAATCAATGGAAAAGTCTGAAACTACCAGTTGGAGACAACCGAACTCCAAATTCAATCCAAATCAAGAACTAGTCAAGTAAAAACGGCTAACACTTACAATTCTTGTTTAGAATCTGAATTGAATTGAAATAAAATGAGAAAAAGTGAAGTTTATACATTCCTTGGTCTCTTGTTTGCTGCTACGGTTGATTGTCAAAGAAAGGAATGAAAAATCCTTGGGCCAGCTAGTTAACAAAGGACAGAAAGAAAGACTCCACCTGCGGCTACTGCTTGGTTGTATGCTACGGCTGCTTTTGGAACAGAAAGAATCGCATCCTCCTCCGGCTGCTTATGAACTGCTGCTACGAATAGAAAAAAGAATCTCGCCTTGGTGCGGCTGAATTCCCTGGGAAAAAACCCCAGCTGATCCGTTTCTCTTTTTCTTTTGGGCTGCTAAAGTGGTTTTTTTTTCTTTGCTTTTTGGACTTCACTTAATAAAGTAACCCACAAATGATTCGGCCCAAACAATATATTATTCACCACAAACTCGGCCTGTAAAATCACAACTCACCACAACTGCTAATAACATTTAACTTTACAATCAAATTACTCCAAAAATGTCAAATTGTGTACAAAAATACTACACTGAATATGAATGCCACCGGGACCGAAAAATAACAAATTTTCACTCAAAACCCCCAATAGTCACCCGATTAATTATAAAAATTAGACAATTAACACCCAAATATGGGTGAAAAGATAGGAACGGAACGAGCCTATCAAATCTCCCCACACTTGAGCGTTGCTTGCCCCCAAGCAACAGTGCATTAAACCCACGGTAAACAAAATAATCACATGTAACACCTGGTTCAAAAATCATTCATACCCAAAACAAATGACTGCACAAGGTCTTTTCTTCCTTAACAACGAAACCAAGATACACATGTTAAACAATATTTTCAAAAGTAAAGTCCCTCTCCAACCAACTAAAATGTAAAGAAAAGCATGATGGTCTCAACGGTGTAGGTGTGTAAAATCCAAACCACCAATCATTCCAAAAACCCAAGAGTTCTGTGATAAAACTCGGAATACTCGTGATTCTTTTGTTTTTAAATATGAAAATTTGACCAGGTTCGTTCTGGATTACATGACTGATTCAAGCTCTAGGGCCTGGGAGTTTATCTCATTACTGTGTACTCAACTCTCACACGAGGTGATTCGCGAGATGAGCAGAGCCCCATTTCGGGGATGAAATTCTCGACACACGAAGTGTAACCCCATTACAAGAATCAGTTACCTACTTAGCATGAAGTTATCCCGATATGCTTAGAAAGCAGAGCTCCTTACGGAGTAAGGATTTTCAACACCTGGTCAGTCAAGGAATTATTAATGCGAACTAGTGAATCACGAGTAAAAACTGAATTTAATCAACACAAATCAAACCATCCAACATGCCAACATTTCCCAAAAATATACACACCACTCCGATGATTACACAATTACTAAATCTTTCCATGAAAGATGGAGGAGATGGAAAATTACAAAAGAAAATAAAGATTAACAAGTTACCTCTGTTGCGTTGCTAAACCAGAAAAGAGCTCGTACACCTCAAAATGTTTTTGGGCAAAATAACTTCATCACCAAATGCCATGTCCAAGCTAAAACCAAACCTCCCCACACTTAGGGGTGACATCGCCCTCGAGGTCAAAGAAGAGATTAAAACAGAAATAATAGGGGCAAGTTAAAGAATAAAATGATTTTCATCCCGGCAGCACATCATAATCAGAATAATAATCAACACAAATCACACAAGAGGAGTAATATGAGAGTAAACACACATTCTTAGCAGTGTAGTAAAAGTTGGCAGAATACCGTACAAGCCAAACGACGGTGAATAACCTCCATAATAAATCTGAAATCGGTCTCCTCAGTGTGTAGAAGCTGCTGAATCCTGTTACTGGAATGACAGTTTGTCCAAAGTGTGGTGACCGAAGGTTCAATTTGAAGTGCAGACTCTGCCCGGTGAACTTGCTCGCATCATATATGCTGCTGTGAACTCTTCCAATCTTGAGTAAGTGTGAATCGCTATCTGGTGCACTGGTGAAGTAAAGACTAGACTACGGGCACTGCTCCGTTCTCTAAAACGCGCTCAGATAAGCTCCAAAAAAGGAAATTAGTGGAGAACGTGATAAGCCAGCCCGGTTCACTGTCTAATCAAGCTAAAATTAGCATGAAATGTTTCTCCTGCGTAGAATGACATTCCCTGGAAGCCTTCAGCCAGCCTTCAACCCAAGGTCTGAATCTGCCAGCAAAGTCTGCTTATCCCATCAAAGTGGTCTACTGTCAATGGGCAGCTGATCTAGTCCTAAAAAATCAGCATGCGGTGCCATCCAGGATCTGCAAACACTTGGTTAATTGCTGCCGGTGACTTCACTTCTGAAGCAAGTTTAGGTCTCAAATCCAAATCCATATCAATGGCCTGCTATGAAACTGTTGAATAGCCCCATCTTCATAAAGTTGTGTTTCTTCCTCCACACCAGTATATGATCACCTTGGCGTACCTGCAATTCAGAGCAAAGAATTCCAACCAAACAACCACGAGATGACAACAAAAACAAAGATGCAAAAACAAGAAAAGAAAAGAAAAGAAACTTCAATTTTTTTTTTCTCTTTTTGGTGGGTTGCCTCCCAGAAGCGCTTCTTTAACGTCATTAGCTTGACAAAGATTCTCATTCCTAACCTGGCTCAAGGCTTAGAACCTCCTTAAAGTCACCAATAAACTTTTTAAAGATAGCTATCATACAACGCATAAATGTCACCAATTTTTCCTTTTGTCCCGACTCTAATTGAGCTGAAATAATAACAGGGTGCTGGCCCTCTGTGTCCAAAAACGCATACTCCAGGTGACTAGGGAGCGGTTTGAGTTCAGGAGTAACCTTATCAGTGGGTTGTTCCTTAAACTCAGTAAGCAACTCAGGGAAAATATCATCCCTAATCACCTGCTCGCAATCAACAGTCATGTTTTCTTCATTTCTGGCAACAACATCCCCCATATAATGAATGTCACTATCTGGTGGGGTAATATCACTATCGCCTCCAAACAAATAACCCTCCACCGACTCAAACATATCAAGATACTTTCATGATTCAGTGGGGTCTGAGGCCTTACTCGTCACCTCTGAGAGTTTAAAAGTACACACATCATCTCCAACTCTCAGAGAAAGTGAACCATCAGCAACATCAACAAGGGCCCTAGCAGTAGCCAGAAAGGGCCTCCCTAAAATAAGTGCTGTCTCACGATCTTCCTCCATGTCCATGACCACAAAATCGACAGGGAATATGAACTTGTCCACTCGTACTAATACATCCTCTAGAATTCCTTTCGGGTATTTCACCGATCGGTCCGCTAGCTGGAGGCTCATACGAGTGGGCTTAAGTTCACCCAAGCCAAGTTTCATGACCACAGAGGAAGGCATCAGGTTGATGCTCGCTCCTAAATCAGCTAAAGCATTATTAAACTTAAAGTTTTCAATAGAACAAGGTACAAGGAAACTCCCTGGGTCTTTTAGCTTTGGAGGCATGGTCTTCAGAACAACTGCTGAACATTCTGCATTAAGATCTACCACTTCTGGCTCTTCCCACCTCCTCTTTTTCGTGAGGAGGTCCTTCATAAATTTTGCATACCTCGGCATCTCTGTCAAAGCCTCCATGAATGGCATATTAATATGCAGCTGCTTCAGATGCTCCATAAATCTGATCAGGTTCGCGTTATCGTTGCTTTTCTTCACCCGTGTAGGGAACGGGAGGGGTGGAGTCTTCTTACTCTCCGCTTTCTTCTGAGAATCTTCTTTTTGAGCTTCATTACTCTTGGCTGGAATAGGGGCAGCTACTGGTTCTTCTTCAACCTCCTGGGAGTCTGGGCCTTCGGGTTGCTGGTCATCTCTTCGATGTGGCAGAAGCGGAGTATTAACTTCTGGAAGTGTTCTCCCACTTCGTAGCGTAATGGCCTGCACTTGCTCTCTTGGGTTGGGTTCTGTTGAACTCGGAAGGCTGCCCGGTTGTCTAGGAGCAATTGAACCAAGCTGGCGGATAAGAGCTTCCAAATTGCTGAAACGTTGGTGCATCTCCGCTTGATTTTTAGCTAATTCAGCCACTGTTTTCTCTAACGCTACATTGACGGGAGGTGGTTCAAGCTGTCTTTGGTGAGGCGGGACATAAGCGGGCTGATTTGAATTGCCTCTGTTCTGGAAATTTCCTTGGAAATTAGGAGCGTTCCGCTGCCCTTGATTCTGATTTTCTGGCCTCCACGAGCCTCCTGCTTGCTGAAAGTTTCCTCTCTGAGCTTGATTGTTAAGAAACTGTCCACCTCCTCTCTGGCCTTGACCATATTCCATGAAATTGACGTTTTGGACCACTGGTGGTGCCTGATTCTGGGCATAAAGAGGACATGTGTGAGTAAGGTGAGCTCCCATGCACATCTCGCAAGATAAAGCGAGTTCTTGGCCGCTTGGGCTTGGATAGCTTGCTCGAACGGGAGGTGGGGCAGAATACATAGGATAAGAGGGCTGATACGCCCCGATATTATGGACCTGCTGCTGCTGAGAAGTCTGTGCCTGAGCTTCATAGAGTTTCTCAAACTTTAGGACAAGAGCATCCAGTTTTGCGGCAGCAGCTGTACTAGAATCAACCTCATAAAATCCCGCCTTCTGTGGAGCTCTTTCACTTCGCTCATCATACCAATACCTCTCATTTGAGGTAATAGTCTCTATCAATTCTTCCCCTTCTTCTGATGTCAGCCTTAGGATTGAACCTGTCTTAGAAGAGTAATCCAACTCCTTTTTGCTCTCAATGGACAACCCATTGTAGAAGTGAAATATGGTGTCCATGCTCTCCATGATGTTGGATGGACAGTTACTTCGGAGCTCCTTGTACCGCTCCCAAGCCTCACTCAATGTCTCGTTCCTCCCTTGCCTAAAGTTATGGAGGGCTGCCTTGGCTTTGATTCCTGCGGATGCTGGGCAGTACTGTTTCATGAAAGCTTGGTATAATTCATCCCAAGTGGCAAAAGTGTGGCTATCAAGCCAGTGTTGCGCCTTGTCCCTTAGAGTGAATGGGAACAAAAGTAGTTTGTTAGCTGCTTCAGAAACTCCATTGATTCGGGAAGTCCGACAGAGACGGTTGAACCAACGCATATGTGTCTGGGCGTCTTCATGTCTCATCCCTCCGAACTGGTTACTCTGAGCTAGATTGATTAATCCGGGAGATAGTTGGTAATTTGCAGCTTCAATCCCCGGCATGGTTATTCCATCAACCACTGCAAATTGCGGAGTAATTTGTTCATACATTGTCCTCCTTGCGGGCTGTTGTTCTCCGGCCATGTTTCTTGACCTTCCTTTTCTTCTTCTCAAAATACTCTCGGGGTTTGGATTCAATGGGATCAAGCCTTCAGTTCCCCGAGCACGTGTGTGCATACACCGGTTCCTGCAGCTTAGTCACGTGCAAAGAACACCAAAAACGACAAACAAAACAGAAAAAAATAGAAAGTCTCACCGACTTGCTTTTACCTATTCCACAGAAAGTACTTAACAAACAACCGTGCCACTCCCCGGCAACGGCGCCATTTGATCGGTGTATTTTTTTAGTGAGTAAAATGTAGTTGGCTAATCCGAAGAATAACCAGACCACGAGTATCGTCTCTCAAGGAGTGGCAAAAAGGAAGTTTTAAATACAGTCCGTGATCACAGGCTAGCACAAGTCATGGTAATCTTTCCAAATAATTTTTGTTTGAGTGGTTTGAAAATAAAACTGACTAATAAACTGACTAATAGCGAGTGAAAAAATAAATAGAAAAAAATAAATTAAATTGATTCAGGATATTAAAAACAGGGTTCAAATTGGATGGTTCGGGTTCTGGGTGTTCTTTCGGGATTAGAATTAAGTAAATTAATATTCAATTATTCCTGGACAGAAAATGAAATCACTTCTCATAGACAAGAGCAAAATCATATTATCACAATCCTAACTTATTTCTAAGATCAAATTGCTTGTATAAGACCTGAGCTAATTTAACTCAATTTCTCATAGACAAGAATTGAATTAAATCCAGAAATTCATATATGAGGTGATCAAATTCATATAGACAATTATGATTAATCTTATACAATTATCCAGAAAATTAATTGATTTAAAAAAAAAAACTAAATTCACACCCTCATGAACCCATAAACCCTAGCCACAATTCAAACCCTATATGGAATTAGCTACTCATAATTAAAATCAACATGACAGTATTATGATTAAGCATGATAAGAGCTAGAGAAATAATTGAATTATAAGTAATCAATGGAAAAGTCTGAAACTACCAGTTGGAGACAACCGAACTCCAAATTCAATCCAAATCAAGAACTAGTCAAGTAAAAACGGCTAACACTTACAATTCTTGTTTAGAATCTGAATTGAATTGAAATAAAATGAGAAAAAGTGAAGTTTATACATTCCTTGGTCTCTTGTTTGCTGCTACGGTTGATTGTCAAAGAAAGGAATGAAAAATCCTTGGGCCAGCTAGTTAACAAAGGACAGAAAGAAAGACTCCACCTGCGGCTACTGCTTGGTTGTATGCTACGGCTGCTTTTGGAACAGAAAGAATCGCATCCTCCTCCGGCTGCTTATGAACTGCTGCTACGAATAGAAAAAAGAATCTCGCCTTGGTGCGGCTGAATTCCCTGGGAAAAAACCCCAGCTGATCCGTTTCTCTTTTTCTTTTGGGCTGCTAAAGTGGTTTTTTTTTCTTTGCTTTTTGGACTTCACTTAATAAAGTAACCCACAAATGATTCGGCCCAAACAATATATTATTCACCACAAACTCGGCCTGTAAAATCACAACTCACCACAACTGCTAATAACATTTAACTTTACAATCAAATTACTCCAAAAATGTCAAATTGTGTACAAAAATACTACACTGAATATGAATGCCACCGGGACCGAAAAATAACAAATTTTCACTCAAAACCCCCAATAGTCACCCGATTAATTATAAAAATTAGACAATTAACACCCAAATATGGGTGAAAAGATAGGAACGGAACGAGCCTATCAAAAGTAAAGCCTAAATATTATAAAATATAAAAATAATAAGGTTTGAATTGAGATGAGGCGTGCAACCCATCTAATTCAACCTTAATGTTTGACATTTTATCATTTATGTATTTCCTTTATTTAATTGTACATTAATAATTATTGGACCTAGTTGGACTAGAACTCATTAATTGGAATGATTTTCATTGTGATTGAGAAACTAGTTTAGAACTAGTATAAATACATCATCCTCCTTCATAATTAGTGACCATTTTTTAGATTCAATATTAGTAGTATATTTCCCTGCGAAGAGATTTCCTAGCCTTTCTCTTTGGGAGATCTAATCATTCTCTCGGAAAGGAGAAATCACGTGGATAACTAAGGTCAAGGATTTTCACCGCTAGACTGGAAAATTTGTAAGTTCTAACTCAGATCTATTATTATTGTTATATTCATTGTTTTGTCATAATAAGGAAAGATCTGTTTGATAAAATTTTAAACTTCCGCTGCTATACTTTCGAGGTACGTTACATCAATTTCCTAACAAAGATTCCTGATGGCGCCTTGGCGCTGAGATTCGCGGTTGGCGTGGAGGTTGTTGGTGGTGGTGTAAGGGGTCAATCTAGGGGAGTGATTGCCCCTAGCCTCTCCAAAGTGGGTACACGCTCTAGAATTCTTCTCCCCTGCTGTTGTGGTCGTTGTTGGCGGCGTTGAGGCACATCAAGGACCGGGGAGTCAGCTTGTTCATTCGCTTGATGTTGACAGATAGGCATTGGTTCGCTATGGATTTGTCCCCCAACCTGCTGAAGATGGGGTGCCTCCCCACTTCATTCAAGGGGTTGGGGTTATTGTCTCCCTGTTGCCTTTGTGGGGCGAAGGACTATGAAGAGTTTTCAGTAGTGATGACGTAGACACCTCCATCATTGTTGTGGTCGTAGTCCATACGTACGGTGCTCAGTGTACTTTGATGGCAGCACAGGGGGTGGCGATGGGACCGCAAATTGTTACGCTATCTAGGGTTGAGAGGTCCCCGCTTTATGTGCCATAAGCACAACATTAACTAGTGCACCGGTAGATACCTGGCGCAGTGGTGGAGAGCGAGTCCTTGGTGTGGCCTGTTGGCGAGAGGCGCCAACTTGCTGTGCGGCTGGAACCATAGTAACCACCGGTGCTGGCTATTGACGCGGTGGAGATGGAGGGAAGATTATTTCAGCAGGTTGTTGAACCACCCATGGGGCCACTATCGACCCTATTCTCAGATATCGTGGCATTGAAGCCACTGGAGAAACTTGCCTTGGGGTACTATTCACCGCTCCCGATGCCGCTTGGGATTGCAGTGTTGGTGGTAGCTGCTTCAACCCGGAGATGAGGGAAGCTACCACCCCAGAAGGATCTGCAATCAGAAAATTATGAAGTTGCGACATCACTTGAGCTGACGGTATTGCCGCTGCAACGCGATTTTGCGCAAGTTGGTGGCAGAGATATGGAGAATTCCGCTGGATATGGTTTCACAGATCCACAGGCGTTGGGGCAGCTTGTTTGGCCTTAACAACTCTCTGAACGCCGGAGGTAGCAGTAGTCTCAACTGATGGCTCGGGTTGATCGATGGGAGCAGCAACAACACACCTGTTTCGCATCATCCTTTTTCCTGCCATTGTTGTTGATGGAAAGATTGGTGTCGATCTGAAAAGAGGGAGGATCTAACTTGATTCATCGTTCTTCTCTCAATGAAAGCACCAAATGATGAATCACCGAACCTAGGGGTAGCCAGAATCGAGTACAAAATTGAGCAGAGTAACAACAAGTTTTTACAGAGAATTTTGGATCCCTTTCCATAGGTTGGAAGATGATATTTATACTAAGGGAGAAATATTTGGCCAACAAGTAAAAAGATGCTATTCTGATCTATTATGGTGAAGACACATGTCACACCTGTCTAACAAAAGAAACAGACTGATCTAATGAGATGATGACATGTGTAAAAGGTGATTGGAGAGATAATTAGGACAACTGGCTGTTTGGTGTCATACGTAATTGAATTTGTTTTTTGCGTACCAGAACACTCGTGCATGCTATACGTATGAAATCCAGTGTGTTCCTTATTCCCAACTGCCGGAGTGACGTGGCATCTGCACTGTGTTTGTGATGTGGTCATATATAGCTTTGTGTGGCACTTTAATAGCTGAGATGTCTAAGTTCATGCTTGATTGGTGAGACCCTATTGGTCCCAGTATTCGTTGTAGACTAACGATCTGCTAGATGGATTTCATCGATAAACAGAAAGAAAGAAGATCTGATAATGATAAGGCAATATCGAGAACAGAGAAATTCTTCTTCTATTATGTCGAGAACTATTTGGACAGCGTAAGGCTGGAGAATGTATTGATCGATATCGGTACCTGTACACAAGGCGCATATTTATAGGCGCTGTACAGGTTACCGATTTAGGTAAACCTTGGAGTTTGGGCCTAGGCCTTTTTGGGCCTTATTCCCTTTAGCCTATTTATTATAAAATGATTGCTAATCTAATACCATAAATGGTATAACTAGTCTACCTTATTAAACAAGACATTACAGACAAACTTGACTCACAATAAAAGTTCTAACAATCTGTAACACCCCGGCCCCGCAGGACCCGAGGTAGTTACTCCACATACTCTCCGGACCTCTAGTACTGTCCCCACAAACCACCACGAGCCTTTAACGCGCACTTTGTCCTCACTCATGTGCGCCCTGAGAAACTTCCCAGGGGGTCACCCATCCCAAGACTACTCCCGTGCAAGCACACTTAACTTTGAAGTTCTTGGGGAATGAGCTCCCTTAAAAGGAGATGCACCTCTGTTGGTATGAGTAGTACTATTAATCCTCTTATATTAATCTCGGGTATTACAATCACCCCCACTTAGGATCGCAACGTCCTCGTTGCGCCCTTAAACCAATCTCAATCAAATCCCAGAAACTTTTCCCCTGCTAGGTGTCTGCCCGATATCCAACGGATCAGCACACTGTCGCAGGGTTGCTCTGATACCAACTTGTAACACCCCCAAAATTCCCGCCCAAAATAATACTTAAAGAAATTATAAACTTTTATTAATTATTCAAAACTTTGAATTTGTGTGCAGCGGAATTAAACAATAATAGGGAAAAGGGGCGTGTTACCGCCACACCCAGCCCTAAACCGACTGGATGCTAAGGCTATCCACCATAAATGTATCTAAAGTAATTATTAAATTCAACATTTGAAATCATGAAATCTAACAAGGTTCATTCTAAATGAGACTACTCTAAAAATCTTCTAGGAGCGCTCTCAGTGCATCAGTCTTCATAAACCACATCATCTGTAACATAAAAAAAATAAAAGAAACAAATAACACAAAAAATTAGCTTTAGAGCTAAGTAAGTCCCACCCAACCCCGTAAAATAGTAGTTTTGTTGAAAAGTAAGTATCTGTATATAGTATATACAAAAAATGAGTTTCCAATAATTTCAAAAAGAGTAATAATATCTCCAAAAGATTTTCTTCACTAATTCGCGTAAGTTTTTCAAAGAATAATTCTCCAAGTACCAAAATATTTGATTTTTCCTCAAAATAGCTTTATAGCTAATTCTCCTAATCATTTAGTTAGAAGGGCGGTGCTCAAGCGTTATCTCGATTCTTGAGCCCAGTGATCCGTTGTTTTTACGGTCACTCCGATCTACTCTCGGTGCCTCATCTCCTCTATTAGAATCTAGACTTCTACCTTAAGTGTGCACACCCCCTAAAGGGATTCCAAGCCCTCCGAGTAGTATGAAGTCTAAGTAGTTCTGACGTCAACGTCTCCCTACTCAAAATGGGATATACTCCCTAAGTTCTAGGTTCAAAGACCCTTAAGAGAATAGGTACTACTACTACTGCTTTAATAAATGGGATCTAATGCCCAGTTGTTCGGGGTGGTTACCGAACCCTCCAAAATTTATTTAATTTGCTTTACACCTCTCAATTCAAGTAGTAGTAGTCCTAACCCTCCCTCACCATTAACGGACGTGAAGGTGGCCCGACACCTACGGATTTCTCCCGTGGTGCCCCAATTATGAAAACAATCTTTTATCTTGACTTTCGAAAAATTCCACATTTATGTCTCTTGGACAAAATTTTACCACAAGGATTATTATCCTTAAATTCATAACTTTATATTTTCCCCAAAATATATTACGTATACACATAATCAAATATATCTCAGAATCACAACAAATACAACTTGTTCACAAGTAATTCATCAATCAAAATATTCATACCATCACATAAATCAAGTAAATAATTATTTACGAGGTAAAAACATAATTTTGGTTGCAATGTGACTTACCTCAACTCCAAGCAAGTATGTTATAGCTAATCCTCCAACTATGCCCTTTCACCCGATTCACCTTCTATCGAAAATTCTAAAGTCAATATTCGTATATAGTCTAATTGCCCTAATTCTTTTATTTAATTGTTATACTCTCTAGAAAGTTTATTCGACATATGCACCAACCCGATTAAGTCTGATACTCCATTCAATAAATTATTCATGTTAACCTATTTATTTTAAATCTGACATTATTTCATTTCATTTCATTTTATAAATAAATTTTAGGTCAATAAGTCCGGTGGTTTACTCAGTTAACGATTCACCTTATTCTTAATATGTACAAGCTAAGTGATCCACAAAAATAATCAGTCCAGTAGTATTAAGACTAGTTTACTTTTTATCGTGATCCAGTTTCCTCAATTCATCAAGCATTACCAAAATCATCGATTAATTGATTTATTCACCTTATTGCAAACAAATAGTTCAAATAATCAGTTTTCATCAACAAAGTATTCTAAGCCTGAATATTCTTACGTAGTACTCATTAAGTACGAAAAACCCATCTTGACATATATTACTCACCAATTTTTGAGTCATTATTAATATCCCACCTTTATTAGATTAACCCTTATAATTAACTAGTTTCCTTTGAACTACAGATCGATGTAAGTAAATCTCAGGAATCCTTGGCCTAA